TATAGTTTTAAAAGGATAACATACATTCCTCAAAGTACAGAACTTAAAATATATGTCTGATGAATATTATAAAAGGAGTATATTCATTTAACTAGAGCTCAAATCAGATCAGGAGATAGAATATTACTAGCATTCCAGAATACTGATTCTTGTCCCATGTACTCACTACCCATCTCTCCCAAAGATAACCATTATTCTGTCTTCTATAGCCATAGATTATTTTTACATATCCTTGAATTTTATATAAATAGAATCATACAATATCTCCTCTTTTATGCTTGACTTCTTTTGTTTGACATTAAATTTCACTTGTAGCATGAATGTACTATGTGATATTATGTAGTATGAATATGTGAAATTCATCTATGTTCCTTCACCTAGTTGTAGGTGATTTATTATTATTATTGTTTAAAATTCCCTTCAGTGAACATACCACATTTTTTTATTCATTCCATTATTGATTGGCATTTGGGTTGTTTTCAGATTGGGGCTATTATGATAAAGGCTGATGTGAACATACTTGTACATGTCTTTTGGTGCACATATGAATGCATTTTTATTAGGTATGTCCCTGTGTCATAGTTTAGGCATATATCAGCTTTAATATAATACTAACAGTTTTCCTTAATAGTTATATATCAATTTATACTACTGACTTCATTGTATGAGAATAAACTTTATAACAGGAGGCTTTATTAGAGATACAGAACGATAGTTAACAATGTAAAGGTTAGTCCACCAGCAAGATACTACAGTTCTAAATGTGTATTCCCTCTTAAAATGACTTCAAATATATTTGACAGAACTAACTAAAAGAAGTAGCAGACAAGTCACAATTGTAGTGGGGGATTTTTAGCACTTTTATCAATAGCTGATAAAACAACCAATAAATACCCCATAAAGTATATAATATTTGAACAATGTGATTGACAAATTACCTAATTGATATACATAGGACAGTGTTCTTTACAGCTACAGTATATATTACTTTCAGATGCATATGAAGCAGTTATCTAAATTGATTATATTCTGGATCATAAAGGGAATTTCAGTATATTTCAGAGGAGTGAAATAATGTTGTATGTTTTCTGACCACAGTGGAATTCAGCTAGAAGTCAATAACAAAAACATAGTTAGAAAATTCCATATTTGGGATTTAAGCAATGTTTTGTAAATAACTGGTGAATCAAAGAAGAAGTTGCAATAGAAATTAAAAATATTTTTAAGTGTATGATAATGAAAATATAAAAATGTGTAGTGTTGCTGAAGCTGAAGAAAATATGTAGCCATAAATGCATATGCTAGTAAAGAAGAATGCTAAAAAATTAATGATCTATATATTCATCTCAAGAAGTTAAGAAAAAAATATACTGAAACCGAAAGAAAGCCTAAAATAGGAAATAATAAGAATAAGAGCTCAAATATAAATTTATATATATTAGAACATAAAGTGAATGTACAATCACTCTGGCTGGTGTGGCTCAGTTGGTTAGAGCATCGTCCCATACACTTAATGGTTGTGGGTTTGATTCCCGGTCTGGGCACATACCTAGGTTGCAGGTTCTGTCCCTGGCAACCAATCAATGTTTCTCTCTCTCCATGAATAAATAATAGATAGATAGATAGATAGATAGATAGAAAAAATAAGTAAATAAAGAAATAATGAATGTACAATAGAGAACAATAACATAACAAAGCCAGAGGTTTATTTTAGAGATTAATAAATTGATAAACTTCTAGCAAAATTTAAAAAATAAAAAAAAGGAGGTAGGTACCAAATCAGATTTGAGAGAAAAAAAAAAGACTAATTTTAAGGCTGAGTTCTTAGTTAATTCTTGTTTGGTACCTGAGACTTGGATGCACAGTAAAAGATCATTAAACCTGAACCAGTGACCATTACGCTCAGTCCCTTTTTATACTTCATTGGATATGTAAATTCATTTTTTAATACAGATTTTTAGTTTTGTAACTCATTTTCTTTATTGGACATTGTGTGTGCTTTAAGTTTTACATGGCCTGCAGTATCATTACAACTTACCATGCTATCATGATGGATTTAATATGTTAACAAAATGTTCATTTCCTAGGTGATAATGGGTTGAGTATGCAATGAATTCTTTGGGACATTCAACTTATTTATTATTTTATCATACCCTATCTCTATTGGATTTGTGTCTGCTGGTTCTGACTAATGTGGAATACCTTTCCTATCTTGGGTTATTATGTGAGGCCGAGCTGTGATAGTCCTTCCCTGGTTTTGATTTAGTGGTCCCTTTTTTCTGAGGCTGGCTTTTTCAAAGTTCCCAGAGTTTATACTGTTCAGACTGTACAGATGGAAACAAGCACATTAATTAGGTCATATACAAATAATAGGATGAGAAAATATAAATAATAGGACAAGAAAAAATAAATATATAATCACTGACTAATTATGGCAAGGAAAAAAACTATTTTTATTCACCCTCTCTTTTGTATACTTCATGCTTTTTTTCATGCTTCATGTTATTATGGGCTTAAAGCGTTTTCTGATGTTTTAACTTACTGATGGTTGTCATATTTCATCATAGTAAAAGGACGAGTGGCAAGAGAATTATAGTATGCCATTACATAAATTTTTATTACATAGCCAATGACAGCCCCTTTAAGGAGAGTCTTTTATTAAAAATATATTTTTATTGATTTCAGAGAGAAAGGGAGAGGGAGAGAGATAGAAACATCAGTGATGAGAGAGAATCATTGATCGGCTGCCTCCTGCACGCCGCCTATGGGGGATTGAGCCCACAACCCCTGGCACATGCCCTTGACTGTAATCAAACCCAGGACCCTTTAGTCCGCAGGCCAATGCTCTATCCACTGAGCGAAACCAGCCAGGGCAAGGAGAGTCTTAAAAGGAATCTTTTCAGCACAGCACCTGTGATACTTTTAGAAACAACCTCACCTGTTGACAACAGCAGAAGGTTCCAGATCTAACAAAAAATTTTTTTCTGATGTAAGACTTGGAGTCAGCTATTATCCAGGAACTCCTTTTTTTTTTTTATTTACTTTGTCTTCACTTCTTTTTTTTCCTTCTTGGAATTGAATAAAAGACCAAAAATGGGAGACTTATGTTATACCTGACAGTTTATGTTGGGTAAAAGTGGTACTGTTATTGGTCTATTTTAAGTGGTGCCAGAGCTCAAAAGAGTTCTTTTTAAGGTTGTGTGTTCACATGAACTTTTCTCTAGTTTTCTTATGGTAAGTGATTTTTTCCAGCTTTCAAAATTTTGTCATACTTTGGTAGATTATTGGGGAATTAATTGAGGAAATAATTAAATCTGAGGCATTTCCACAATAAATATGCATTATGGAATAACAAGCAAAATTTGCTTTTTTAAAAATAATAAGACTTGCCCTAACCGGTTTGGCTCAGTGGATAGAGCGTTGGCCTGTGGACTGAAAGGTCCCAGGTTCGATTCCAGTCAAGGGCATGTACTTTGGTTGCGGGCACATCCCCAGTAGGGGATGTGCAGGAGGCAGCTAGTCGATGTTTCTCTCTCATCGATGTTTCTAACTCTCTATCCCTCTCCCTTCCTCTGTGTAAAAAATCAATAAAATATATTTTAAAAAATAATAATAAGACTTAAAAGAAATTTCACACTCAGGTGGGCACCTCCTTCCTCAGGAAAGATATAACAGCTATCTGAAGCTGTTAAATATTAGCTTCATTATACACTAATTGAACACTCCAGTGTCTATGATTTCACTTTCCTTTTGACTCTATTAACCTAAAAGTTATCA